CCTTTGGTGCATCGTTCTTGGACAAACCTGCTGCAACGCGTGAAAAAGGATCGGTGGCTGTGCTTATATATGTCATATAGCCGTCTTGGGGGTGGCGTTCCGATCTATCCAACGTCTCCAAAAACACCAACAATACGGGTCAACATAAGTGCCAGGCGCGGCGCTTGGTGGAAGAGGCAGCCGGCTTGGGCGATCTCACCGAGGTCTACAAGGCGGGAAATACGCAAAACACGGTGGAGAGCTGGGAACATGGTGGACAGACCGGTCCCAGACCATCCATGTATGGAATAGTTACCTATCTTGGGGTCATGCATGGGGTAAATGTATGTAACTATTCCAGACATGTATGGTCTGAGGGTGGATACGGGACTGACTTGTAGCCAAAAACTGGGTGGTAGTGTCAGACATCTACGTTCAACCTTTGCCTGGCATGAAACATCTCCATAATTTGATAAACTATCCAATGTGCTGATCAACCATCAAACACATAGGGATGCTATTCCATGATATTCCCACTAGTTCTTTCCTACGTGGTTTCTCCCTCACATGCGCACCTGCACGGCCAGCTCAGTCGTTCGTTCTGCGATGGTGAGGCGCAAATCTTGACCGCTCAGCGTGAGAAGCGGAAGGTCTTGAGAGACCCATTGTGCGGATCCCCAGGCCTCTTCACGCATGTGTTTTTTCGTACTCAGTCAGTGGATAACCCGCAACACCCTTTGTTTGAGATGGATTTCCCTACTAAAAAAATCACAGATGGAAAAACGGTTACATAATAAACCTGTTTTGGCCAGGGAATATGAGGGAGTCAGTCTCTACGGCAATACGGCAAGACTTGACCCGGGCCTTCTCTACAGTACTGGGGACGCTCGTATTAGTTATGCCAACAGGCAATTAGGCACACATGAAAGTTTGTTCAATGATAATTACATAGCCTTTTTTAGGCATACTGTACATTGTCTGTTTTGAGTTCACAGTGGATTGGGGTCTTTGTGTTGGACTGGCCAAAAGATGAGGGGTGTTCCTTTGCAGCTAAGAGTCCAAATACACGCAGATGACCCCACCAAACCATGGAAGGTTCACATCTGGATGGTGTATATAGATGTATATAGTCTCTTCTGTTGGTGGTCAACCACAACCATTCTTTTTCGCTCTTTGAACTCACAGCCACAGATTGGACCTCTTTCTGCAGAATTATATGAAGAAACCACTCCAGAGTCCTGGATGGTTTTTCAACCTCAAAACAGGCCTGAAGGGTTGAGATATCATCAAGAGTCTACATGAGCTCATGAGCTGCTTGAGAGCTTGGCTTGGAGACATCTCGATGGCTTCCACCCACATTTGGCTCGAACTTTGCAAAGATCGGAAGGGTCGGAAAAAGGGCTGCTTGGCACGCACCGGGTACACATGGGGAAAAAGTGGTGAGAGTCTTGCAGAGAGGCGTCTGGATGCCTTGCAGAAGGGCTCCGAACTGACTTTGATCATGGAACCTGGCTTTGGCGAAGCTTCTAGAGGATCCAAACCCTTGCAGTTGTAGTCGAAGGTCAGGGGATGGATGGACGCCATCATTTGCCGTTGCATGGGTTCACGCAAATGCCCAATGTGTAACCAGCTGGCCCCGGTAAATAGAGGTTTCATGTCCAAGACCTCCACAAACTCTATATATGTGTTTTTTGACATGTTTCTTGGCACCATGAGCGCATCCAGACAGCCTTCAAAGGTGTTCATGTCGGACTTCACGAGGGTTGAGGTGAGCATCTCCAAGTAAAGCCACATCATCTGTAGAGCATGGGATACTGTGGGCCATCATGGGCCTATTACTGATTGGTGGTGTCCTACCTCTTGATGTTTTATCTTTACCTGGGATGATCAGCACAATATGTCCCAATATGTCCCAATGATCGAATATGTTTTTAGGTGATTCGAGGTGTGTGGTTTACCACGAAAACCAAGCACAGTGTCCATGAAAACCCAGGTGTTTTAGACACCAAAACCAAGGTCCAGTCTTATCCGACGCGCCTGCGCTACGCCGGCGGCAAAAAGCCATCTGCGCACTTGCGGATCGGGTCAGAGGATCGGCCATGGACAAGGTGTGGGTTCGGTTCGTGAGAAGAGGAGAGCAGTTGAGCTGTTTGGGGCAGCTTGGACAGAGCTGTAGAAGTCCTGTTTTGGGGGGTAGCTTTTGACAGGAAAACTACCAACAAAACAACAGTTTTGGAGCGAGCCTTAAGTGATCTAGAGAATGAGAGAGAGATGAAATCCTATGAGCAAGCAGCTTGGACAATCTGTCCAAGCTCACCAGGAGCAAACCGGAGTTACTCACCGGAGGTTGTTGAAGGTTTTTGTCTCCAAGTTTGGGCGTTCCAGCGCGCCCAGCTTGTTGCCAGGCCTCGTTACACCGCCGTTCAGCGCCGAAACCCAAGTGATCCGAGAAAGAACAGGGGTCGATGCCAGTCCCAGACAGGTGGCTTTTGATGTACGTACCTTCCAAAACTCCATTTGTTGATCCCTGTGAGTCTGACGGTACCATTCTTTTGAAGCCCACCACCATCCTTCACCCTAGTTCGACTCTATCCCTCGTTCTTGAGTTCGTTAACTTAATATATACCTGGAAACCCGTATGATCACTTTTTTTTGATCACTATGGCCTCAAGCCGTATTGACCGTTTTCTTGTGCATATGCCGTATATGGGCACGGACATCTCTCTGGGGGACTCCATGTTGTATGAATGGGAACTGTATACGGTATACGACTATGGCCGTATACTGGCCATATTTGCATGCATATTTGGGGGTGCCCGTATGATACTAGTATTTGTTCAATATGTTATTGAGAAAACACCGTAACCATATTCCAACATATACTAGTGCGAATACTGCGTTGGAACACCCGAATATGATACCCTATTGAGCCAAGAGAGGAAACCGTATATGCCCGTACTTGGGCAAACCCCGTAATGACCAAAAAAACTGGTCAAATGCCGTATGATCAAAAAATATTGAACATACTGTTTCTCAGGTATATATAGAGTCCTGTTTCTTGTTGTTTTAATTTGTTCAGGTCACCACAAAGTTCGGTCACGAACTGTCCGACGCTGGTCTGGTCTGGACGTGTTGTTTTTTTCCTCTTGCGCAGCGAGCGCAGCGAACGCAGGTGAAGCCGGAGCACCTGCCAGAGGCGTGAACTCGCCGTGAACTCGCTGTGAACACATGGCCCCAAGCCTTCGGCCGCTGGAAAAGACCACGAACCTGGAACCAACATCAAACTGGAACCAACATGGAAGTGGAACACCCTCTGTTTGGTATTCGGAACATGGTCTTCCTCACTGGCGCCATCCACGTAACCATTTCAGCTTCAGGGAGTGAACACGGCTCTTTCGTTCGATTGCATCGATGCCGATGCTCTGTCACAGTGCGGCGATTTCGGACATGGGTAATTTGATGAGACCACGACACCGCCATGTCCTTTCGGACGGCGCCGAAGAACCGCCTGCCGGCCGTGCCAGGTGTACCAGAGGAGAACCTTCCCCTTCAATCCCTCCCGCGGGGCCTCGCCGGCTGACAGCCGATTGTCCACTCCTGTGGGGGCACCGAGCGTCTGGCGGCGAGCGGAAGGAAGAAAGCGGGGGCGAGCGGTCGTTCTGCAGCGTTTCCTGACGGCATTTGGGCTAAGATGGCTAAGACATGTGGTTCAAGAATCAACGTGTCACTCCAATGTTTGACAGAATTCATCTGCAGAACACCAAGAAAGAATCATGAGTGAGATCATGAGTGCATGTACAGTGCTTGCACAAACCCTTATGCCAGAAGACATCTTCCAGCTGATGATGCAGAAAACCTGTCATGAGGTCTTACCGTCTTACCTGACAGACACGGCAAGAGATGCTTCCCTCAACAATATTCAACTAAATCAAAAAACATTAGACCTGTCTTTGTTTTGCTCTTTTTGTCTTTTGACCTTAAAATACACAGTATATATATAGTTATATATATACGTATATAAAATATAATTAATTATATAACCTTTTTTTCTTGTATGTATGTATGTATGTATGTATGTATGTATGTATGTATGTATGTATGTATATAGTTTTTACCTTAGATTCGATAATCTGAATGTTAGATAGAACCAGGACAATCCCACATCTCTGACTATTCACCAACAATGCCATGTGTCGGGAGTTCAGAATCTGCCGTCAGCAGCACAGTCCCCAAATCAAATCATTCCTTAAGTTTTGCTAGGTTTCACTTTTCCCCTAAGTCTTGCAGATAGAATATCGAGATCATACTCCAGCAGCCTCCAATGCAACAGGTTTCCAGAAGCCACCAGAAACAGGGTCGGTGCTGGTAGATAGAGATCCACCACATTCTTTTTGGGGCCCAGAGAATCCAGATCAAAGCGCAGACCTGTTTGCGCTCTTAAAAGAAACAACAACAACAACAACAACAACAATAATGATAATAACAAAAGGCATAAGAAGCAAGAGGAGCCCCTAGTAGCTTCTTGTTCCAAGTAGTAAGGCCAGGAGCCCCGTTCGTAGCTTCTTGTTCCGTTCGTAGCTTTTTGGGGCCCAGAGGATCCAGATGGAAGAGTTAAGGTCACATACATTTGCCCCAGTTGAACACCTGGAACCCGACGGTCGTCCTCCATGTAAACCGCGAACGAGGAAAGACACCAACGGTCGGTCAACCGGTCGGTATGCTGGTGCGACCCACAGTCATATATTATAACTATAGGACCCTCCACCAGGTCTGGTGGCTGAAATGCAGTTGTTTAAGAGTCGCAGGTGGTGACCTATGAAGTCGGGTGCTGGTATACATGGGCGCATGGTCTGCATGGGTTCACTCTGAGATTTGCCGTGCCACGCCTTCCTTCGCCGTCGCACGCGGGGCTTTCGGAGACCGCCCAGGCGATCTCCGTGCAGACGGAGCGACACCGCGCGCTGGGCGGAAATCGGCCGCATATCCTCACCACGAGCCCCGGAGCAAGGCAAAGATGACCCAGACACTCCATGTTGGTCAGCCTACATTGACCCCTCAAACCACTCCAACTGATCCGTAAATATAGCAAACATGATCATACATGGAGTGTTTGGGTGATAGGTTGCCACAAGAAACCTTTGTCACGAGTCATTACCAACGAAGTCAGGATTGTGATCACATGGTGAGAGTTCAAACTCATACGGTACGGATACAAACCGGGGTGAGCCAGGTTTGTGCTAGATAGGGTTTGTGATTCTATCCAATTTGAGTATAGGGCCAAGAATCTTGGATTTACACAAGAGGGCCCAATACTGGAGACAGTGAAAGCAAGAACAACATTGATGTATACATCTACCGACATGAGAGCCGATCTTCACACTGTCCAGTTGCATTTTGTTCCTTCGAAGTGATTCATTCTTGGAGTTGCCACAACTCCGATTTCTGTCACTCGAGTTCTGCATGTTTCTTCCCAGGCACGGTGTCGAGTTCATCGCAGAGCCCGGCCCCGGCGTACACCCCCTGGACGCACGCTCGAGCTCCACGCTCTCACGCTCACAGCCACGGACTACTGGCACCGTGCGGGGAGATGGATTAGATAAGACGCATAGGGATCATGCCTACAATTCTGCGCACATGTGCCTTGGAGAATGAGGGACGAGACGGGCGAACTGGGAATTTGTGGTCTACCAGGGGCTGAGGAGAGAAATTTAAACTATATAAAAAGAACTATACCTATAACCTCTTCTTGGGCAGAAATTTCTGCCTATTATGGGTAAAGGCGACTTTGCCCGTGCTTAGGCGTTCTTGCCCCCTGTAGCCGTTCTTGCCCCCTTTGGGCGTTCTTGTCCTTTTGGTGGCATTGCTCAAATAGATGAGGATCCACCCACCACTGGTTCCAGGAACTTTCATAGTGAGGTACATTTGTTTGTCAGGAATTCACTCAATGTTTCTCTTGTGATCTCTTTTGTATGTATTTAGTTTGTCTATGCTTTGATTCATTGCTTTAATATCTTTTTGCGTAGGTGTTCTTCCTGTCACTTAGGCGTTCTTACCCGTTACTTGGGCGTTCTTGCCCGTTACCTAGGCGTTCTTGCCCGTTCCCCCCTCACTACAATCAGTAGTTGGGCGGACAGCGGAATGGTAGCCTTTTGGGGGGAGTGAGCGACATGAGTTTCAATAACTTTAGACTGGGGATTAGCGTCAAGTGGCAGGTGTGTGGTTTCTCAATTTTCATCATTCAAACTCTGGCTCTGCCTCCTGCGTGTAAGAATGCATGTGATTCTCCCTCGGCGTTTTGGACCCTCGAGGCTGCAGCTTAGGCGTTCTTTGCAAACACGGGCTGAATTTTCTGCCTAAATGGCGTTGGGGGGAAATTATTGCCTAACGAGGTTCTAGGTATATACCTGGTACCCCTGAAGAGTGATAATTATCACTCCGTTTTGTAATTATCAATCTTTTGGACAGTGTGGTGTGACAAAAAGCACTCCGGAGTGAGAATAGTTGCTCCAGAATGGTGTTTGTTGCTCCGCAACGTATCTTGAACGCAAAGCAAACGTTAATTGAACGCAAAGTGAACGCACTGCGAACGCAATCTGAGCGCAATTGCGGTTGGACTGATTTTTTCCACTCCGGGGTGCTTTTTGTGACACCACTGTCCAAAAGATTGATAATTACAAAACGGAGTGATAATTATCACTCTTCAGGGGTACCAGGTATATATACACAGTGTTTTGGGTATGTGTTTTTTGATTCTTGTATGTTGCTTGGAATGATAAGATGATAAGAAGAAGCTAGACATGGAGCAGAGGATTTGGAGGACTTGAAAGTCAGTGGACTGCGACACCCATGTGCCAGATGTGCCAGATGTGCGAACAGGAGTTCTAGTGAAATGGTCAGAATAGGGAGGGTGTCTTCATCATTTAGTCCAACATGTTTGGTCATACTCGTAGATTGCCAAGAAGACCCAAATAACTTCACAGTGGAATGTGATCATAATTTAAACATTTGTTTAATGTTGCACGACTGAGTTGTTCCAGGGGCGTGCATGGGCGTATATTTATGCTGTATACAATGTTGAGTCGAGTCGTCTAAAATATTTGAGTGCCAGACACTGAAACATCAGGGACCCTGAAGAACATGACACCAACCGATCACTCCACTCCCATGCCCGCAGCAGTCTTCTTCGAACTCGGGTGGACGAATGCCAATCGGTCCGATGTGATGCGTTATGTTTTGGCAAAATCCGAAGACGTCCAGCTCGACAGTACAGAGTATCAGGAAAATTGAAACTTGATGTGTGTGTTGATCAACCAACCAACCAACCAACCAACCGGTACATGTTTGGAAGAGAAACTGCACTGGAACAAGTGACAGAAGCGGATCATGTTGATCACTTGGATCACGACCTGAGTAGTTCACTCCAAGAATGAATTTCCACATCTTGTCATGATCACAGTTTTCTCCCTGCTGCCGCGCACAACACACAGGAATTCTGAAAAAGACTACCCACGTACCCCACGTACCCCACGTACACCACGTACCGGGCCTCCACCGGTCGCCCGGGTATCAAACCCATCCGCCCTTTCCTTCCGTCCGCGCTGCGTTCGACGGATCGCCCAAAGGTTTGGGCACCATGATGTTCGGAACAATATGAACCCGTGGCTGGCTCACTACCGGATACCCAAGTGGGAGACCACCAGCCGCCCGGTTTCAGAAGAACGGGAGAAGGAGAAACGTGGCGAGATGGTTTGGGTGGTTTCGATGTGGTTTTGTGATAGTCCAGAACCGGTTGTGGGAGACATACGCAGCAGATCGTTTGTGTTCATGATTTGTTTAAGTCAATGTACAAAACGGCGAAGAGATAGATTGAATAGCCTGTACGGAACCAACATTCACGTACTGTGTGCTAAGGACTTTACACTACAAAACTAGGTCAACCATTGTTTAAAGGGTCGTGGAAGGCTAGGGATAGGGCCTAGACCCAGTTCGACCTCTTGTCAGAAGGACCACTTAAGCTTTGTCCTACGACACGAACACCCATTGCTTGGGGACTTGGGCCTTGGGGGAGAGGTTCTCCCCATTTCAGTGTGGGAGGTCTTGGGAGGTCTACCCATTTAAGGGTTGGTGATTGTTGATGATGCCGTGCCCCATGGCTCACTTGCAACCAACCCTCGCAGCATCCTCCCCTTGCTGCCTATTTCCCAGTCCTAAGGGTTGGTAGCACTGGTTGACCAAGCATCATTTGCGGGCTACCCTTTGTCTACAGGAAGATACTATATTGTACTGATGCCTGCCTTCATGATCTTCATGATTTGATATTGATTTTGAGCGCATCTCCTGCAGATGGACACCAGTTGTTACTAAAGGCAGAATGTACGTGCAACTCCGTTCTTTTCCCTGGTTTCCCACTCCATCCACTGCCAAGCAGTTGATGACTGCAGGCAACCAAGCAACCAAGCAAGCAATCAATCAAACTACACTCTGAGTCACATGGAAGTGGATGGCACCACCTGTTTGTATTCACAAAGTGGTCATCCAAGGGGCCATGCCACTTCCATGATTATTTAAGCGAATGTAGATGGTTGTCTCGAGTCCAACATTTCGGAGCTTTTGCCAGGTGTAACCCCAAGTTTCACAAAGCTTTGAATGGATTCTGTGGAGCAAGAAACCACCACCAACACCATTTGTATACCGTTTCGAATTGGACCCTGTTTTCATGACCCCGTGGCTTTGAATCGGGATTTGTCGAGCTTGTTTTGTTGTTTCCTTGGCTGCGTAGGGGGTCCTGCCACGTCTTTGTGCTGCGAGGCACAATGTATGGAGAGCACTACCGGCACCCAGAGCAGACCTACACAAGGCCTATCAAGAATCGCATGCCGGTCTTTCACATAAATCTGTAGCATGGGTGGCCCAAAATGATTATGATCATCATGAGTTTGTACATGTTTGATCATGGCAAGTGATCCCCCTAACCTCTAGCGATCAGTCGGCCGCCCTCAGTCGTTGACACTGCAAACGGTGCGGATGTCTCACAATCGGCCACCAAAGGTGGTCAATGTACGCAGCGATGCATCGGAAGAAAAGGACCAACCCACGATACCTATAGACACCATCGTATTGCCCACGTTGGGGTGGTTTCGGGGGTCAAGGGGTCAAGTCGTTGTCAAGGCCAACATTGTGGAGTTTGTTGGATAGATTCTTCAAGTCGTGATGTGTTCTCTACCAGGACCAAGCATTCAGGATCACCATTCTGGCCAATAGTATATACTCATACACTTCATATACACTATAAGTTATTGTATAGTTTATTGTGTTTAATAGTTGTGCTTTCATCAGTGAACCCCGAATGAATCCATTTGTGGACGTTCCCAGTACCTGCGGTAAACGGTCCCTCAGACAGGGCTTTGGTTCGTTCGCGCCCGTTCTCGAGACGAAGAAGATGCTGCGCATGATGCTTACTGGCTGGCAGAAGATTAACAATGTGATATCATGTGACAATGGCATCAAATTGCTAGGAAGAAAGGACATGGGTAATTATATGGAGTCCCTCCAGGAAAAGAGCTATAGATGATTTTACGAGGTCGAGAAAATGACAAGCCAAGGGGGGACAGTATTTCTGTTGAAGGACCTAGCTGAACTTGGCTTTGATCATCGCTGGCCCTTGGTGCATGAATCGACCTATCAATCCCTGGATCAAACACATAGCAGCAAAAGAGCCAAAGAATACTGAAAAATACTGAAAATATAATGAGCTTTGCCAAGTGATTGGCATTGGGCAGTGCAACATTTGCAGACACCAGTGCGATGCGATGTCTTTGGAAAGGACCGGCATGCTTGTCATCGAATCACCAGTTGAACATTCCTTTCCGGACCGTAGGAGACGCACCCCCCCCGCAGACAACTTGGCAAATTCGTGCCTTGCAATGCGGTATTTCTGCAGAATGTATCGGGAACTGGGAAACGGATCCAAGCGAAGCACCATCTGAGTACTACTCGAATATGAGCGAAGAGATGTTCAATTGACACATGGATATCGACACCCTTTCCAGAGTGTTTCCTTTGATTTGCTTCTCTGCCCAAGTCTAGCAGTGGCTTAGGAGCATGCCTGATCTTAGCTCTGCTGGCGCTCCGCACGCATGATCTTGCACACCATGCGCATGATTTGGCGTTCTCGCTTTGCGGTTGGGCCACCCAGAGGGGCCCGAAGGGGGAAGGTGTGGGTTAAGGCTGTGGTGAGCTGAGGGGCCTGGCCGAGGGGCCTTTGCTGGTATGTGATGACCAAGTGTCCTTATAAAACATGTGTCATTTGTGATCAATATCTGCCATGTTGTATGAGTTTGGGGTGTAGAGTGTTCATAGCAAGAAATTCCGGATTGCCAAGGTTTGTTGAAAGACGGTGTAAGGTTATCCTAACACGATCACATCGTTTTGACCAGATGATCTAAAAATAGACTTGACAATGTGCCAGCCCAGAGTGAATATGAACTGAAGAAGGACCTGCCTTAAAGAAGGAGCCAATCATCCATTTCTCCACCTCTGCAGTGCTTTTGCAGTGCTGACACGTGCTGACTTCTTCCAAAGGTCAACTCGTTGGTTGGTGTTTCTGGACTCATCAGCTCCAGGAATCGGTTTTCAGTGTCTTTCCCACGGAGCCAAGTCGGAGCGGACAGTCCTGACACATCCGGGTTGCCCGGTTTGGAGGGTTGCCTATATACTGGAGCCACAGCCACCCAATTGCTATTTACCACCATATAACTATTATAATATAAAAGGTGGAAGAGTGAATATCCCTTCACATATGCATTGGAAATGCTTGGAGAGCGCGATCATCATTACACATCATGAAGCAACAAAAGCAATCTGACCACAGGTGGGGCTTTGGGCAACTTGGAGAAGAAACACAGTTCAGCACCTTCAAAGGGACCACATGGCTGGGGCTTAGGGTCTCCAGACAGGATATCCCTTGAAGGTCCAGGGTCCAGTGAACTATCCAATTCCTTCATTCCTTTCATCCACCACTTCAGTCCGAATTTCGGATTGCTCGAATGGAGGATCAGGAGGATCTGAGACCCCCCCCGTCCACTCTTTCGATGGGTGTTTTTTACAAGGGAGACTCCTCCAACTCGTGGGGACGGTCTATTTCCCAAAGCGACACCGGTCGGAACGCCTGGCAGGTCTCCCGTGTTTAGTGGTGCTACACCCCCATATTGAGTAGTGCTCCACACGCTTTCCGCCCCCAAGGTGCAGCCGACCATCGACGGTCTCCCCGTGTGAAGCTCGGATGCAGCACCAGGCCGAGGGGGCGTGGGTCTGGCGGTGTGAACGGGAGGGTGTTGGGGCGGCGTTGGGTGGTGGTGCCCCAGGTGGTTGAGGGGTGGAGTTCTACTGAAAGATGGGCAATGTACGGCAGAAAGCCAGCTCTCCTTTGGGGGTAGGTGTTTCAAGCCGCTCGAGAGAGGTAGAGACTACACTCCTATAGTCACTAACATGGAAGTGGATGGTACCATCTTGTCGTATTCGGAACATGGTAATCCGTTCTTGGCCATGCCATCCACTTAGCTTCACGTAACCATGATGATGTTTCAGGAAGTGTAGAAATGAATGGCTCGAGATCAAAACGCCCCGAGATGGTTTGAGTGTTTGAATATGTTTGCATGTTGTCTTGACCATCGATTTAATGCATTAATGATTGTCAGTGGTTGCCAGATCCAGCATCCATCCGGCTGCAGGATCCGACCTGCGGAAGATGGGGACATGCCATGGCTCCTTGGTGCGATCTACGGAAAGAAGTGATGAAAACGTCCTGCAAAAAGACACAAAACATGGAAGTGGATGGCAGGCGAACTGCCACGAGTTCGACCATTTTCCGAACACAGGTGACCGGTGGTGTTCGGAATCGGTCTTCCACGTCGATTCGGATTAGGAGCACACGTTTGCAGGGCAAAAGTTCAGCAGTATTGTAGGGCAAACTCCGAGCTGTTTGGCTTCTGGCAAACTAGTTTGCCGCAGAAGATTCGGGTGTTTCATTTCTCTATCAAGTTTGGAGTCAGCCTCTAGTAGAAGATTCCATTGCTACTGAGCGCCGAAGGAGCTTCTGAGAGGATGTGGAGCAGTTGGATCGAAACTAAGGGATCTCATCACCAACTGTTTTTGTTCAACTTATGGACGCTGAGGCCGAAAAAAGACACCTGAATTCCGACCACCTCGTTGTAAGTGTGCCTTCCTTTGTTCTGATATGACCCCATCTAATTGTGCATTGGTGCATCACCGCCTCTTGCCATTGAGCCATCTCTGAGTTCCTATGAACCTGGTCTGAACAAAAGTACCATGCCCAAGCCCGGCAAGCCCTAAAACTGGAAATGGATATTCCAGCCATGTTTCTCTACCGAACAACAGATCATGGATTGTCATCCAACATGTCCATTCAAATAGCAGATCCGATCCAAGAGCTCGAAAAGTTTGCTCAGCTGCTCAGTTTGCTCCATGTCTTTATGCATCAGTTTGCCCGGTCGACCTCAGTGACAACGGTCGACCTCTGTGTCCATGGCGGCGTACGTGGAATGCGAGACGAGTTCGGACGGTCACGGGTCACTGGCGTCGATGGCGTCCAGTGCTGGCCACGAGTTGCACCGGTCCATTCCAGCAGCTCGATGGTGTGTGACTGGCCAAAAGGAGAGAACGGTTCTGTTCAATAGTTTTCATGCAGACTAGTAACGTTGTTATGCAGACTTGAATGATATTTCAAGGCCCCCTTAAAGGATGCAGGTGCTAATGATAGTTTAAGGCCATATGACGAGGTTTGTACATGATGATTGAACCCACACCCAATGACGCTTGAAACTGTAGGGGCCTTCCAATTGCTTTTGGAGAAGGTACAGAACCTGGAAACCATGAAAAAAGGGAAAAGCCTGGAAAGGTGGTTGATTTGCAAGGTTCAAAGGTTCAAACATATTGCAAACCTACATATCCCTAGGGATCCAAGTACCTTCTCAGATGGTAATTGGACCCTCCACACCTACATAACAGTGTCTCCAATCACCTTCTGAGAAGGTGCCGTCCGAAAGTGTCGGAACCAGGAGCTTTATGTCGGTAGGTCTTACATTGAGCATACATTGAAAACCGATGAGGAAAACCCAAGACCGATGCCTTTGTATCATACATACATACATACGTAGGTACGTACCTATACTACTACTACTACTACTCCTCCTCCTCCTCGTCCTCCTCGTCCTCCTCGTCCTCCTCGTCCTCCTCGTCCTCCTCGTCCTCCTCGTCCTCCTGCTCCTGCTCCTGCTCCTCCTACTCCTACTCCTACTCCTGCTCCTCCTCCTACTACTACTGCTGCTACTACTACTACTGGCAAAATTTATGTTGTTCACCAGCATGTATAGACCGATGCCTAACCGATGCCCTAACCAATGCCGCGGAGTGACTTCCAGACACCCGATCAAGGGACATGCCCACTCGAGAGCAGATTTTAGGGTTCAAATGACATGCCCAAGAGAAAGGAACTAGCAGCTGCATATGTGAGGTACTTGAACTTGTGAAAAAGTTCTTTGCTCTGCTGTGCGTTGCTTTGCCATGTCCATGACTATACTTTTGTTTGGAAACATACGGTGTGAAATTCACCAAACATTGGAAACCGATGAGGAAAACCCAAGCCCGAGAAACCGATGAGGAAAACCCAAGCCCGATGCCCTGTCCTAATGACCGCTCCCAGATGTAGGAAATTTTGGACCGACCTCGTGTTTGGATGCCTAAGGATATGTTAGTTGACTTTCCAGCTGAGACGGCTGAGACCGGTCGGACCAGCCCCCCGTTCCTCAACATGAGTTCCCCCGCAGGTGACCTATGCAGATTTCAAGTTCTTACGACGCGAAGTGCTCAGTGCCGTGAAGGA